TCCTCCCATGTAGGAATGCTACGTGCAGGCTGCCTTTCCAACCAACTAAGAGCCTTTCCCTTAACAGTAAAAGGGAACAACCGCAACCGGATTGCATCATTGGACACTTGAGGGTGTTTGGTGGAGTCACAGACCATAAGAAATATGTCTATAAATCAGTGAGGATCTTCCATTCTCCCCTCCTCCAAACTGGGCTCTCTCCACCAATTGAATAGTGGAAGACTTAAGCTCCCAATTATTATTACCAACTACCAGCTGAACAATGCTTGAGTTAGGCCTATTGAAAGCTGGAGTAAGAATAGAATCCATGAGTGGATTTTCTTCATCATTATTTGCTGCCATGATTGGTCCTTCAATTGGTATTTCCTGTGTCTCCTCAGATAGAGTACCAAATTCTTTGAATTCAAGCTTTTTCTGAGCGAGTTTTCTATTTCTCCTTTCGGTTTTTGTAATCTCAGGATCAAACAGAAATTCTGCAGTTTTACCTCGCATACAACTCAGGAAAGAGATTAGTAGCACTTTTCAAATAAAAATAGAAAATATTAATATTCACAAAATCCAATCTTAAAGATCAAGATTATATGATAAAAGAAACGCCAATCCCCGACAACGGCGCCAAAAACTTGATGCTCACCGGCAAGTGTACCGATCGCACAAGTAATACAGTGACAAGAAAAGTATTGTCTCCATAGGGATTGTGATCGAATATCAAATAATCATTCCTTTTAAGACGGAAAGAATTCGAATAGGTGTGAAAAATGTTGTTGATTTGATTAAAAATAAGAACTAAAGGCAAGAACGTATTTTTAGGGTTTTTGTTATGAAAAATAAAACAGAGATTGGTTTTATAAAATATGAGAAATCATTGTAGCTAGAGTGCACTCACCAAATGATCCCCGCTTCTTACTCTGGATTGATTTAAAATACTCATTTAAATAAATACTAAGATAATTTATCATCTAAAAATATTACGTAGTTAATCCTCAATTCCTTGCAAGGTTAACCCTTCAACCCCAATTGGAACCCCAATTCCTTGCAATGTTCCTCATGGAATTAAGCAATGAACACGATAAATTAAGCATCTGCAATCAAATATACGTCTATTCCTAGCACGCATACAAATTGTTATCCTACTCCCTTTCAAGATCAAAACCACAATATTCCTATCTAGGGTTCTAACCCTCAAACTATCATCAATTATTAGATTGATCAGTTCTAACAAAGAGGATAGAAATTACGCACAGAGTAGAGATAAATGTAAATATATAAACGAGTAAAAATAAATCAATCCGTTGTAACAAGGGTTCACATAGGGATTGTAACCTTAACTACAGTAAAAAGAACTAGCCAACCATTGTCATGGCTGATCTATCAATATTCAACATAAACTGGAAGAATTACAGAAATGGAAGAATACAGATGAACAAGATCTCCCAGAACTCTCTTATCTGAGCACGACGATTTCTTCTCAAAAAAAAAAGCTCCTAATTCTGTGCTGAGCATCCTTTATATAGGCCCAACTTTCTTCTTCCAAATTTGTCCTTGTAAAACACGGTGCTTGTAAATTCGTAAACTGGCGCGGGTCCGCGCCACTGTGGCGCTGGACCGCGCCAGATCTCTGGTCATTGGCCCTGCAAAGTGGCGTTGACTTGCGCCAATGTGGCGCTAAGTTGTACCACTTCTCTGGAATTTTGGCCGATGCAATCATGATGTAGCATGGAATTTCCAACCGTGTGGATTTGCGCCACCAAGCTTTTTACACTTTCGTATTTTCCACCTCTTCTTCCTATATAAACGAACAAATAAGTGAGAAATGTCATTGAGAAGAAAAAGTCAATATAATAAGCAAATATGTATAAAAAGTGCTCTTTTATGACTTAATTCTCATCTTTTTTAGCCTGGAAAACTACATCTTCTAGAGGCACATCTCTATGTTTAAGGAGTATATTTCTACTTGTGTGCTCCACCATGGTTAGTGGACTATGGTGGATTGTATGTGGTATTTGATGCTTTGTATTGATGCATTCATATAGGGCTGTATGATAATATGATATATTTTGTGCTGATGTGATTTCTGTAATGATCTTTGGCCATTGATCGTTTGTACACTCATGTCTGCTTGGGGTCCTCCCTCGGGACTGACTGTGTACACTCTGATATGTTCTGGTTCCACTTAGGGTCCTCCCTTGGGAATGATTGCGTACGCCTCTGGTAAGATATGTATATATGTTTTGTTCAGTTATGATATATGTTATATGATGCCTTGTATACTCTGTATCTAACTTTCATGCAGGAGTGAGCCCAGAGTATGGAGAATTCTTTATAAACATGGAGCTTATTGAGTTTTGTTATCTCACCTCGTTTGGGGACATCATTTCAGGTGTTCAGATCCCCAGTGAGCCCTCACGAGGAAGGGACACGACTCGTGGTTAGAGGGGTGCGATGGACTGGATTTTTGAGTAGCTGTAGGCTACTGATATTTTGGATTGTAGTATGTTGCTTTAGTATTTTATTATTTTGGGATCATGATGTCTCATCCATTACTTGTATATATGGCCTGTATATGTCTTGTACATGTATTCAGTTTGATGCATGTACAATTGTGTATTCAGGTATGTCTATATTATGATGTAGTATTCAGTTATATGTTTACCTGTTGGTTATGCATGCTGATAGACTTAGTGGCACAGAGCCAAGTTATTTATGAGCCCGTGGATGAGTATATTATCTGTAATGGACATTTGGTATTCTGTAATTCATGGATTGTATAAACTGTTTATCAGGATACCTTTTGAGTGGGATTTGTAAATCCCCAGTTGTCTAGTTTTCAGCTGTTACTCGTCCAATTTTCGTCCCCGTTATATGGAAAGTAAACTAGAGTTATGCAATGTTATATATAATGTGAAATGGAGAAAAGGAAAATAAAAAGTTAGCTCGTATTTTCATAAGTTAAGTCTTCTGCTATTTATATTTAGTATCATATGTGTGTTAATTGAACTTGCTCGAGACGGGAATGTTACATTATGACCCATAGAGAATGAAGGGGGAATGAAATTTCCCCAAGAAAGTCACCAAAAATAGGGGAGATCAAGTCTGCCCCAGGTGTAGGGCGCTCAAACGCGCTGTGTGCGTGAAATCAAGTGAAATTCCCTGCCTCTGGGCACTCAAGCGCTCAGTAGGGGACTTAAACGCGCTAGTGCATGCTCAGTAGGGGAAAACCTGACGATGGCAAAATTCTCTGCCTTTGGGCGCTCGAGCGCCCAGTTGAGTGCTCGAGCGCGCATCCCGAAAACAGCATGCACATAGTTTAGTAAAAGTGACATAACTCGAGCTATAGATCTCCGATTTGAGCGTGGTTTGAACCCACGCGAAACGGAGAGATCTATAACATAGTGGGAGATGAGAACTACAAAGGAAGTAGAGAATTCCCAATATAATAAAAAGTGGAGATAATTTAGTATTGAACTTGAACAAAATAAGAATATGATGTTAAGCTTAGTTTCAATTATTCCGCAATACCATACGGTTACGGTCACGCAATTGGTTATTTTAAATTTGGTGTTATTCAAAAGGAAAAATAAGTAAGTTTTAAAAAGAAAAAGAAAAATCTATCCGGGTTTTTAATTGAACCAATGTGATTATAACTGCGCTTAATATCATAAAACAATAATAACAAACCGGTTCTAGAATGAGGTGTTAAAAAATAGTCCTGGGAAATTGAAAATTCACCACAATACTTTCATTTTACATGTCTTAGGACATCATAACATGATTTCAACTTGTTCCGGTGTAAATAAGATGTGTCTTACAAAAGGACCGGTTGTCCCCAATTTAGACAAACAACTACATTATGCCCTACTCTCATTCAAATCAAAGTCTGTATAACTTTTTGTCCACTTGATATGTTTAGAAAAAAAAATAAACCGCGCAAAGAATTCCCCTACAATTTGGTAAAAAGGCTAAATGCAAAACACAATAGTCAAAGTAAATTGTCTACTTTGCCAACTTCATGTTGTAGTGTTCATAGCTAATTTTTTCTATTCCAAGAAAGTAGGACCCTTGATAGTAACGGTATACACCTATAGTGTCTCTATCATTATCTTAGATCATATTTTAACTCCTACAATGGCCTTAATCAATCCTGTTTTTTCCTTTTTCTTTCGGCAAAAAGACCATTATGATGTAACTTTAATAAAGAATTTTAAAATAATCTCCTTTTTTAAACATAATACCAATATGTTGAAAGGGTCTTTGCCGTGGCTAGTGGGATTGACTTAATCAACCTCAAATCCTCAAGCCAATAAATTTTTTGTTCCAAATATAGAAGTGTGAGTAGTGGTTAAGTATCACATATGTGAGAAATGAACCAAGTGAGGGTGGTATAAATATGAAACATCACATACCTATAACCTTAAGGTTTTTGGATGAGACATAGTGTCTGTTGGGCTCACTTGACATTGTTGATCTAACTTAATCCATTAAGGGTCATTCTCCGCCATTGGCATCTTTGGCCCACTTGATTGTGGTGTTAAAATCGGGTTTAGATCATAGTTGAGCTAGTAGGCTAAGTGAAGATGATATAAGTGGGAGAGAACTCATAAATCTAATATTTTAAGATTTTGGGTTGAGATATAGTATCAGATCCACTTGATATGATTGGTCTAACTTAATTCATTTATACTAGTCCTCTGCCATGAATTCTACCTGTCCTTCTAGCATTCTTGACTAGTATATTTCTATTAATGACTTCACCATACTTCCCTTGCTATCCATGGATACTAACTGAGAAACACAATAACAAATTCATAATCTTTTATTGTGTTTTTCCCATTTCTCCATCCTCAGTTTCTCTTTGCTACATGTGCATCAGATGCATATTTTAATAGCAAATTATATTGCAGATTGGTCAGCTTCAAATGCTTATTCTATTCTACTAGCACCATTCCAAGCCACCACCAGTAGACATTAGTTAATCAATAGTGTTACACTCGGTTTTTCCAATGGGCATTCTTTCTTTCGTTAGTGTCCTTGTTTATATCCTTGTTCCTTCACTCACAGTTTCCCTTTCAGTTGATTCCATTGCACTGTCACATTCCCTCACTGATGGCATGACCTTAGTTTCACAAGGTGGAACCTTCGAACTTGGTTTCTTCAGCCCTGGGAAATCCAAGAAACATTACCTGGGAATTTGGTACAAAAACATCCCAGTTAAAACAGTTGTTTGGGTTGCTAACAGGGTCAACCCAATCAATGATTCCTCTGGTATCTTAACAGTGAATAGGGCTGGCCATCTTGTCCTTCACCAGAATGACACTGTTATTTGGAACACAACTTCTCCAAGAATACCACAGAATCCAATGGCTGAGCTCTTGGATTATGGCAATCTTGTGGTAAGAGATGAGAATGATGCAAACCCAGAAGCCTATTTGTGGCAAAGCTTTGACTATCCATGCGATACACTGTTGCCAGGGATGAAATTTGGATGGGACTTAAGAACAGGTTTCAATTGGACTCTAACAGCTTGGAAGAGTCCAGATGATCCAGCTCCAGGAGACTTTTCTTGTGCTGTACACAACAACAGTTATCCTGATTCATATTTGATGAAGGGAACCAAAAAGTACGGCAGATTTGGACCATGGAATGGCTTGCATTTAAGTGGTACTCCATTATTAAAGTCGAACCCAATTTATAATTTCAAGTTTGTTTACAATAAGGATGAGATATATTACACATACTACCTCGGAAATAAGTCTAGATATTCAAGAGTTGTAATCAACCAAACTGATTATACTCGTTCCCGTTATGTGTGGGTGGAAAGTGATCAAAATTGGATAGTTTATAGAGCAATGCCAGTAGACTACTGCGACCATTATGGCCTGTGTGGAGCCAATGGCAACTGTGTCATCAATGAATCACCAATTTGCCAATGTCTTAAAGGGTTCAAACCTAAGTCACTACAAGCATGGAACACAATGGACTGGTCTCAAGGATGTGTTCGCAACAAACCATTAAGATGCAATGATAAGCACAAGGATGGGTTCGTCAAATTGAAGGGGTTGAAAGTGCCAGATACTACACATTCTTGGTTGGATGAGGCAATGGATTTAGAGGAATGCAGAGCCAAGTGCTTGGATAACTGTTCTTGTATGGCCTATACTAATTCAGATATTAGAGGACAAGGGAGTGGCTGTGCCATGTGGTTTGGCAATCTAATTGATATAAGACAGTTTGCAGATGGGGATCAGGACTTATATGTTCGAATGGATGCTTCAGAATTAGGTAAGGACTTAAAACTTTGTCACTTAATTCTTCAATGTTTCTTGCCATCAATTTCATGTTACAAAAATTGAGGTTCACTCCTTCAATCTGTGAATTACACCTAGTCTTTTGTTTGATCAAATTCAACCATGCAGAGGTGGAACACGGGCACCGGAAGAAGTTCACCAAAATAGTTGGTAGCACCATTGCTGCAATTTCAGGGATGCTTATAGTTTGTTGCTATAGTATCTACAAATTCCGCAGAAACATAACTGGTAGGATGACTTACTCCCATATTCATCTATGTACAACTTAATTACTATAAAGTGAAGTCCATCTACCAATCTGCATGAATAAAAGTTGAAATCAAACTAAGAACTACTTAAAAGTAACTTTATAAGATAATTCTATCATAATTATCGGGTACCATCACATTAAAAAATTTATACAACTGTTATTGCCTTGATAGTTGATAAGCCATGATTTACATACTTCCTGATCATGTTAATGACTAGAATTGGTGCATTTTGCATTCTTTGTTGGTGGCGTTAAATTAGGAGGACCCTAGACATCACATATATTACGCTTCTATTCTGTATTACTGCAACTTAAATATAGCCACTCTTTGTTGGACTTAGGATTGTTTTTGTGTATAATAGGCAATAATGTTTTCTTTTTGGCTAATAAACACATTTATATGTCATTTAATGTACAATTAAGATGATCACAGTTAAGTCATTCCTATCAGATGGTTTTTTAAAATGCTATTAAATCAAAAATCTAGTCAAGTGAACAATTTTAATTGTTCAACATCCACAATTTGGTACTTTATATGTTTTGCCTGCGTAAGATGTTAATTTGTCCATGATAGCTGTTTCCAACTTTCTGCTCATACTTCTCAAAAAAATAAATTTGAAGGGTTTTCTTCTGAGGATGATCTAGATCTCCCGTTGCTTGACCTGTCAACAATAGCTAGTGCCACCAATAACTTCTCAGTGAATAACAAAATTGGAGAAGGTGGATTTGGACCTGTCTACAAGGTAACTCTATTTCAATAATTGGATGCAGACAATTAAATTGCTGATGTTAGGAAATATCTCAATATAGGGAAGATTAGCAAGTGGGAAAGAAATTGCTGTGAAGAGACTTTCAAGAAGCTCAACACAAGGAATGATCGAGTTCAAGAATGAAGTAAAACTGATTGCAAAACTTCAGCACCGAAATCTTGTAAAACTTCTTGGGTATTGCATTCATGGACAAGAAAAAATACTGATTTATGAATACATGCCAAACAGCAGCTTGGACACCTTCATTTTTGGTATGCATCCCAGAAAGCTTATATTATTGGGATGGACCAATGTTATCATTTTAGTACTATTAACAAGCATATGGAACTTGAACTTCGAATTTGAAGAATTAAAATGCAGTAACTAATTTATCGTTTGTGTTGATTGTCACCAGATCATATCAAAGGGAAGTTGCTAGATTGGTCTAAGCGCTTTCACATTATTTGTGGAATTGCACGGGGCCTTATGTATCTTCATCAAGATTCTAGATTGATGATTATTCATAGAGATCTCAAAGCAAGTAACGTTTTACTTGATGATAAGATGAACCCAAAAATATCAGATTTTGGCATGGCTAAAACTTCTGCAACTGAGCAAAATGAAGGAAATACAAACAGAATTGTGGGGACCTAGTAGGTTTCTTATTTAGAAGCTGCCAAGTTTATAACCTTTCTTAATTCATCTTCTTTAATTATGTTGTTTTGAATGGCGTCTTGCAGTGGCTACATGGCACCAGAATATGCTGCTTATGGACGATTTTCAGTGAAATCTGATGTCTTCAGTTTTGGTATTTTGGGGCTGGAGATTGTGTATGGAAAAAGAAATAGAGATTTTTATGATGCAAACCGAATTCATAACCTTATTGGTCAGGTAAGTGTGTGATATATTGATTTATGTTAGACTAAAATGTAATTTGAAATATGCATTTTTTTTATTTTAAATTTCAGGCCTGGATGTTGTGGATGGAAGGCAAGGCTTTAGAAATGATTGACAAAAACATGGAAGAATCATGGATTGAATCAGAAGTATTGCGTTGCATCCATATTAGTCTTTTGTGTGCCCAACAACATCCAGAGGATAGACCAACCATGTCATATGTGGTGCTTATGCTGGGAAGTGAGATAGAACTTCCTAAGCCTAAAGAACCTGGCTTCTTCGCTGGCAAGGCTTCATTTCAAACAAATTGCACCTCAAATCCAATGAAATCTTGCTCAAACGTTGAAGTTACCATAACCTCATTACAACCCAGGTGAAAGTTAAGTGAGTGGATAGTACAATTTGGTTAATGTAAGTATAAACAGTACGCCTTCATGGGAGTGTTTTAGTTATTATGATGCTTGAGAGACATTACATAAGTCAACATGAACATTACTTAATCCTACTTCCAATTCATGGCAGCATAGCTAATTTCACAACATATAAACACATCCAAACTATTATTCTATCACATCTCAAGCTTATTGGAAAGTTTTCTTGATTGTACTCTCAAATTAGATTCAAAATGAATATCAAAATTGGACATGGTGGATAAAAAATTGAAATCCTAATTAGGAAGAGAGCATCTCAGTATTCCTACAAATGGAATATTCTAGAAGATTAATAGGCTTTCAAGATGCTCACGAATAAGTATGAACAAGTTTAAGGATGAAGTAACACTGAAATCTTCTAAAATTTCTCGTGTTGCATGAACAGTTCCTCGACCCTCTTGTGCTAGTTCCTAATTTGATGATGTTGAATCGATAAACAGATAAGATTAGTGTGCCCTTGCCCAAAGATCACACGTTCACATTGAGATATTTGATGATGCTGGAACTATAAATAGTTACAATTTTTTAAAAATTTCCTTTTTAATAATATTTCACAATAACAATAAAAATAATATTGAATACATGTATTTATATCCAAAAACTATTCAGAATTTACGAACCTCGACTCAAATGGTGATTGTTGTTTCTCATTGAGATTTTAGGAACTAATTCAGTAAAACATGAATGTCCACTGACCTTTTCTTAAGGACATGGTGTTCTTCTTTGTGAGAAGATTTGTTGAAATGTAACACAGTGACCTTCTTGAAACTTGTACTGCAATCTTTTTAAATGATCAACTGTGCAAAGGAGACATGCAGAATGAAAAAATAAAAAATAAAAAAAAAGATAGTCAAATCAAAAGTCTTCTCTGTCAGAATGAGAAATTATAATAAGCGCCCCACATTCGCTAATACAACGGGGAAACTTGATGAATTAAAGTTTCATAATTGGTTCTTTTCGTTACAATTCGAAGTGAAAGAAAAAATTAAGGGGTGTATTGGTTTAAGATTTTAAAAGATTTTTTTGAGATAAAAAATTCTACAGATTTTAAAAGATATTTTTGAATTTGAGAGATTTTATAGACTTTTTTTACAATCAAGATTTCATATGATTGAATTTTAATAGAATTCATAAGATTTGAAGGACAATATGGATTTATAAGATTTTAAAAAACTATATGAAATTTTAGCAAATATTCAAAATTACAAGAGTCAATAAAAACAAATAACAAAGAAATGCAATGATATTAATAAAAAAAAAAGTAAACTTAACAACAGGTTGAAAATTATCTCAAAAATTATTAAGCAACAACTCTCCACATATCAATAAAATCTAATATAATTTTCTCAATGAGTTTGAGTTTGATTTGCGAAAATAATAACCATATATCAACGGTTAACTTCCAAGTTAAATATTAATTAATGAGTTTGATTTGTGAGAATAATAACCATTGATTGACGGAAATCAACGATTAAAATATGGTTGTAAACAAAAATAGGTTGTAAGAATAGTATTCCCCGTAAAAAAATAACAAAAAAATACAATGAAATTAATAAAAAAAAGTAAAACCTAATATAATTTTCTCAATCAGTAAAACATAATATAATTTTTAACAAACATTCAAAATTACTAAACAACAGCTTTTCACATATCTAATAGGTTGAAAATTATCTTCTTCATTTGGTATCAAAGTTATGCATATATGATTATAAGACCCAATTTTTTTAATTATAAAAAAAATTCTAAATTTGCATATAGAACCTAAAGTTCATGATAAAATTTCGTTTGAAATTTTTTGCAATTGATCTTGAAAACCTTAGGGTTTTTGTTTTACGTGATGAGAGTTTTCTAACCATATATCATATGCATATTTTCATTGAATATTCTAAGAAAATTTTGAATCTGAAATTTTGGGTTTAATTACAAGAAAGTTTAGAAAATTTCTGAAATTTTTTTCATTCGATACATTAAAACCTTAAATTGCTTTGGGGCTTTTGAGAAACAAGATTTTAGTTATCTATTGACATAAAAATTGTTAGAAATCGTTTCCTATAGTGAAGGAATTTCGTTCATGAATGTATTGTTACGAAATATAGGGTTCATATTATGAAAGTTTCAATCTTTCTTTAAATTGATATTGCTTCATTTATGTAAAACGAAAATTGGTTTGAGGGTTTTAGTTTCCTTGTTATTTTTTCACTATTTTATGTTGTTTTTAATACAAAAATCACACGTTTTTGTGCCAAGAAAAACCGCAACCCATAGCTTGAAAAATGATTAGCCGAAGACTTCCTGAAGGTCTCAGTATTACACATTGTAATTTTGTGAGTTAACTTTTTCTTTCTATATTTCCTTACGTATTGCCATACAAATTGAACTTAACATCATTACTTGAACCCCTGTGACCACAATCAATGATCGACAACTATCTGAATATGACAATAAGTGTCATTTCAGAAAGAGTCATACAGACAACATAACGGCGGTAGATTGGACTAGAGATAAAATCTCATATTTAAACCTGTCACCTAAAATACAGAAAAGTCCAACCAATATACATGTCCTGAAAATGGCTCTGTGCCATTACAAGTATCATATACATGACTTGTCAACATACACACATAATCATTCATGTTGATAACTGAAACATGTTACTGAATAAATACATACATGCTTGTGTTGGGACGAACTCGGTCCCTCAATCTCGGCTAAGAAGCCTTTGCGAAAGTCCAACGTCGAGCTCAGAGGTCGGCTATCAAAGAGGTCGGCCTGAACTAACCAGGTCGGCCTGAACTAACCAAGTCGGCCTATACGCAGCAAAGATAGAAAATTGCGAAGGAGAGAGAGAGTTAATGAACACAAGCAGATTTTAACATGGGAAAACATTCTCCAATGTGAAGCAGTAAAAACCCACGGGACAGTAGTCCAAAATCAAACTTTCACTATGAAAATAATGGGTTACAAGAATTGAGCATCACCAAAATGGTGGTACACTCAAAATGTTAGTATATAGGTGTTTTGGAGACAATATGAGAGTCAGATGGACCCATGTACTTCTTTATTGTTATGAATAAACTTATGAATAAAAATATTATTTATCTTATTTCATATTGCATGTCTCAAATTTTATATGTTTATATTGAATATGAGTAACTGGATAAAGCCCTTGGAATGGAACATGTGTCACATTGAGGATCTGTGATAGAGACCACGATCATGAGGGCTCAATGACACCATACGTCCATTACAAGAAAAATGTTCCTAGTCTAGAGACATCGAGAATGGGCATTGGTGATCTCTGGTAAGAGTAGCACGACTCAGCTACTTGCATGGAGATACAAGGTAGAGTCCTTATGAGCTGCATACATGGAGATGTCTTAGTTTACTCGTGAGCGGACCTAGTGGAGAATAACTCGCATTGAACTGACCCACCAAGAGACTGTAATACCTCATTTTGGACTAGTGTGTTAACATACATATGATATTAAGCATAGTTGTAATGCCTCGTTCTAGAACCGGTTTGTTAACATTGCTTTATGATATTAAACGCAGTTACAATCACATTATTTCAATTAAAAACCAGAATAGATTTTTCATTTTCTTTTTAAAACTTACTTATTTTTCCTTTTTAAGGACACTGAGATTAAAATAACCAATTGCGTGACCATAACCTTATTACATTGCGGAATAATCAAAACTAAGCTTAACATCATATTTTTATTTTGTTCAAGCTCAAAACTAAACTCTCTTCAGTTTTTATTAAATTGGGAATTCTATACTTCCTTTATAGTTCTCATCTCCCATTATGTTATAGATCTCTTCATTAGCTTCACATCGATTCAAAACGCGCTTAAATCGGAGATTTTTAGCTCGAGTTATGCCAATTTTACTAAACTATGTTCATGTTGTTTTCGGGATGTGCGCTCGAGCGCTCAATTTGGCGCTCGAGTGCCCAAAGGCAGATAATTTTGGCATCGTCGGGTTTTTCAACGCGCTGGAGCGCACACTAGCGTGCTTGAGTGCCCTACTGGGCGCTTAAGCGCCCAGAGGCAGAGAATTTCATATTATTTCACGCATATAGCGCGCTTGAGTCCCCAAAGTAGCGCTTGAGCGCCCTACACCTGAGGAAAACTTGGTCTCCCCTGTTTTTGGTGATTTTCTTGGGGAAATTTCACTCCTTTTCATTCTCCATGGGTTATAACACCTAATTGACAAAGAAAGGCCACGAATGGTCACACACCATGTGGCACCTATATCCCACAAATACTTTACCAATTCATCATGCAAATCAAAATGATAAACATAACTACATATTCATCAATATATCAAAGTCTCAATTACAACAATGTTTTTCCAAATTTCATATACATAACAAAGGACTTAGCTACCAAAATAAACATGATCAAAGCAATTAGCCATAAACATGCACTAAGTGTCCAACTAAGTCCTATGGCCTAAGTCCTCCAAAATACATCATATGGCCTCAAAATAAATACATATAACAATTCTAAATGGCATGCAACTCAAAATGTCCAGCTATCAGGTACAATCTACTCATGCTTCTTGCCTCAATCAGCCTCACCTCTATCAGTACCTGAAATTATGCCCCACAACACGGGGTGAGATATACGAATATATCACAATAAACCAGGGTTCCTTGGAGATCACTCCACCCAAAGGTTCACTTTCGGTGAACACATAATAATAACAACTTAATACATTCTTATCCATAACCATCACATGGACTTCCAAGAGAGATCCATGAAGGGTTGTTTCTCTTAGGCTCTTACCCCATGGAGATCCACATAGGGTTATTTCCAAGGGAAGTCCCTAACCCCAATCTAGGAACCTCCAAGAGAGATCTACATAGGGTTGTTTCTCTTAGGCTCTGACCACATGCAGATCCGCATAGGGCTGTTTCCAAGGGAAGTTCCTACCAATCATCT